ATTTCACAGCACACTAAACCCAACGTGCCTCTGACAGATTTGTCAGACAGATTCAAAAAAAAGGAAAGCAGATGCGCTGATGTGATCCAACGTGATGTGTGATTATCACGAAGCACCCAAACACTAATAACCAAGCCCTGTTTAGAATGAAATCACTGATGACAAATTAATAAACGCCAACACAACAACGAAGATTGATGTTAGTGTAATGATAAAGCTCATTTTGGATTCAAGGTTCCACTTTAAGCACTGAAACCGGCTGATAAAGACTAGACGTGAAGTACCAAACGATGTGCAACATGCTGCGTTTACACTTGGAAGTTACAAAAGAGGAAATTGGCACATTTACATGAAAGACTTGTTCTCATAAACTGATTATTTTAAAGAAGTGTATGATAATGATTTTTAAGCTGTGTTAACTAGTTTTACAGCAAAATTGCACTGGAGTTCAAAAACAATGGAGTATGTCAGTCATGACGCCTACACATGCTTAACAGTATGGTTTGCATTTTTTCTACACTTGTTTCCTCATACTGGCGTGTCCTGCACAATGTGGACGGCTGATCAAGTTACTCATTAGTTAGTATGCACATGGTGGTGTGGTGTCCGAACATTCAGCTAATCATTGTTAAAGGCGTTGGCTAAAAAAAAAAAAAAAATATTCGGCACGTTGGAGTATGTGCTGCATGTGCACGCGTTCAACGACCTGAGCTCTGAGGAATTTACCTGCTTTTGAAGATCAGCATGAAAACAGCCTCAGAGCATCAAACTCAGCTCAGGCTTTATTCTAGATTTAAAGTAAAACCTGACTCTAAACATGGAAATCTAAAGTGACTGTGTATTAGCAGTCAGCTGTATTGGCCCTGCCTTGCTTGTGTTAAATCTCTCTTAAAGGATTAAAAACAGTTCTACTCTTTCATTTATTTATTATTTTTTTAACTGAACAGAAATGCATTTCTGCTTTTTGTTTTTTAAAAATAAACAGAAAAATTTGCTTTTTTTAAGTGTAGAGTAGATCTATATGGGTCATTTAAAAAAAGAAAAGAGATCTGAAATGAATGTGTACTTTATGACACTATGGTGTTGCTTTTATTACCAATACTGAGCCCACAGCACTTCCTTAGTGACAATCACTTATTTCAGATTATTTTTCTTTGTTCCTCTCCAAAAAAGGCCAGAAAAACAGACTCTGCTGCTAGCTTTAGCTAGGCCTTAAAATCATCCAGATCTGAAAGGACTTGCAAAAGTTCAGATGGCACAAGTCTCACCGTGATGCTAAAAAGCTCCTTTATAGCCTGTAACGCTAATTTGACTGCAGAATTTAGACCCATTGTGCTACGAAAACTACACAAAATTGCAAGACTGACATGCTAGATTGGCGTCAAAGTTAACTACAGGATTGCATAACTGAAGGTAAAAGAACTGGTCCAAAAGTTGACCACTCATGTCCTTATTGGCTATTGCAAATAAGGACATTAGCAACACTGGTCTTTTCTCTGCTCCAAAACCCTTTACAGGCCCAACCGGATTTCAAAGCAGTGACATGATGCTTTGTTGTACAGGTGGGTTTTAGTGATGCAAAGACACACTAAACTCACTACTGTTCACTATACAATGACTCACACTGAAACTAAAGCTTAGGAATGACTTCCAAAAGTGAACAACAATAAAAAACTCTCGCTGTTTGACTTACATTACTGCATGTGGGTTCTGGAGCATGCATGCCTTGGGGCCGAATGTTGTCACAGGGCTTGGTCCATGAAGTGATTGAGTCCTCCTAAAAGAGAGGATAAAAAACATTCACATGTAAACACGGCAAGCAGTTGGGCAAGAACGCAAATGAAGACTCCAAGGCATTTTAAAATGATCTCATCTTGTTCGAACTGCGCATAAGTTGGCCCCACAACCTCTTCTACTGTCATCTGCTCGTTTACAGGAAACTGGAAGCTGAGCTCAAGACCAGACAATGTCACTCACCCTTTGATGCCGATGCTAGTCTCTAGAAATTCCCAAGTTACCAACTCTTTAAGTTTTCACCAAATAAATTACACTTTTAATTTCAGTTTTCAAGACAAAAAAAGAAAAAAAAAGGGGAAGCGAAACAAAGGCTGTTGGAGACGTCTACAAAACAGAAGCGGAAGTTCAGAATTTACAGAATTCACAAATCAGCCGATATTTGCTTATTTTGTGTCTACTTAGCTTCGACACACCGCTAGAGTCTCTATTTGTGTCACTGCGTCGATCTGGTAACCTTTCACTTGATAGGTGAAAGTGTAAACTGTGGCGCTACAGCCCAGTGCTTGAAATGTTCTTTGTTCAGATTTTTTGGGGCGTCTGTTTGTCGTAGGTGCAGTGTTAACAGTGCATCGGTGAAATTAAGCCCGACAAGCTGTTTTATAAGCCTTACTTATCCACTTACTTACTCTGGAGCTCACAGAAATCTGCTTTCTGCGCAGTGGAAAAAAGGAAAATCTTAAGCACCTGTCTGTATTAGGCTTTGTTAACGCATTGTGACTGGAGTGTGGGGTCAAAAGGTCAGCGGTGGCGTTCACTGACGGTGCAAACGCAGCCTTCATGCTGAATCACTCAGTCAACAAATCCTCTTAGCCGTCTCACTCTGCGAATGCACCATCTGCCGTTTACGCGCTCTTAAAGCTGCACTGAACGATATTTTCATACAAACATGTAAAGAAACTAACGCGCAACGCCAGAGACGCTGCTCACGCTGACAAAAACACTGACAGTTATCACCAAGTCTGCAACTCTATGGAGTCTGCTGCTCTTGTTTCGCTCACTGCTTTGGTATTTGTCAGAACGCCAAAAAACTGAAGTCCAATGGGATGATGTGGAGAAAAGGCAAGTGTTTTTAAAGTGACAGCAGTTCGATCAACGATAAGTGGTCGTGAGCTTGTTTTAGGGTCATTTTTCCCCTTCAGTGGAGAAAAAACAAAAAGTAATGCAACTTTAAGACTTTTACATTCACCAAATGGGCAAAGGAAAAAAGAGAAGAGAACTAAAAAGATGAAGCTCTGACACTAAAGCACAGAAACAGAGTAAAGCTGTGTGCACACTGGATTTGTGGTGGTAGCAACCAGACAGCATAAAAAGTAAATGGCATTTAGTGACTTCAAGCAACTATGGGCAAAAAGACTGCTCAGGTCAGTCTCAGGTGAGAGACTGAAGAGACTACCAATGAGACTTAAGTATATCGTTGATTGACATGTGACCAAACATAAGGCCAGGGGGACAGAATTGGCCTGGAAGGCTTTGGAAAATGCTTTACAGCTTTTCCTACTGACAAAGACCTCTACATGACCACTCATACCACACCAAACTAGTTAAGTGTTAGATAAACAATTAAATAATAGAAAGGTTCTCTATTATAGAAATCTTTTTTTTTTTTTTTTTTTATAGTGGGTCCAAAAAGATTCTGTGAATTAACCAAAACTGAGACTTGCTGCTAAAACTGTACTTGACCTCTGACTAAATGTTTAGTTAAAGGGCAGTTTCACTGGTTTCACTTGAGATCTAAATGAGCTGTATCTGACCCACGATGTAAAATGAGTTTGACATCCTTGCATTAGACAGTCACCTATGTTACCAGAGCCTACAACTTCCCCAAGCAACCAGCTGTGTACGTAAGCTTTACTTCTGCGTAACTTCTCGAGCAATCTGAGAATGTATCAATATTTCAGTCCAGCACTGGATCACAGTGCAGGTGGAGTCACAACATTTTTTTAAAACCACTCCAACAGAAGATATTGTATTGCGTTGTATTAGTAAAATAATACACAGATATCAAACTGTGATCAGCTTATCGTAAGCTCTGGTCTTATTGTAAGCTTTTAACTAAACTCACATTAGTTACTTTTCAGCCAAGGAGGTCCACTTCACTTTTTGCTTTTTACAACCCACAAATATCACTACAATGAAAAGGGTCCTTTCCAAATTAGGATAAATTCCTCCTAAATCTTAATGCTTCTGAAAAAAAAAAAACCTTGCAACACGAACAGTTAGCAAACCAAAGAGGTTTTAAACATCCTATTTCCGTGAAGTCAGGTACCCACACAAATCCATTTCACAAAAGTCTTAGC